GTACAAATGATAGAGAGAGAACAAGAGACAGCCAGCATTGATTGCTTCCATGAGGAAAAGGACCGACTGTTCGGCTGGGGCAGTTCCGGTGAATGTGGTCTTATGCTTTCCCACACTCTCTGGATATGTGTTTCCAGCGTTCCGCCTTCTAGGAAATCAAATTCTTGGTGGAAAATCATCAACTGCAGTTTCGGAGTTCGAGCGCCCACTTCGTTCGCGGTTGGCGTCCGATATTGACGAAATACGCCACATAGTGCCAGAATGGTATTTTTTACCGTTCCGCCAATCTGTCCCATCTTGGCACTGAGTGCCACTGACCAGATTTTTTTATTATTATTATTTTTTTTTGCTTACCAGATAATTGTGTCTTTTTTTGTTCTTCTGCTTACCAGGTAATTTTGTCAACAATAATTTTTGCTATTTTTGTCAATTATGAAGAATTTTCTTCTTGGTATGGGCTTGTGTGATATTTTGTGTGCACTGTGCAGTGGATGGCTGCTGCCACTCTGGTTGTGAAGATTCTTCTTCTCCATATAGTCCACACTGTTTGAGGCACCAAGAGAGTTCTGCTGCATATTGTTACCTCTGAAGCCCTGGTCCTTTCTCTTGTGAAAGAGGGTGGACACTGTCGTCTTCACGCGAATAGAACGCCCGGTCATTACGGGTTGTACTCGTGGCAATTTTCAATCCAGGTGCAGCGATAATGACCGGGTGTTCTATTCGGGTGAAGACGGTAGGTATGCTTACCTTGTGGGTTTTGGTCTTGGCTCGATTGGCTCGATAGTTCGCCACGAGGTGCAGCCGCATAACTCTGGGGAGCACTGTGAGTGCTGGGATCATTGCTCAAAAGTTTTGTGTGTTTTCGTTGAGTGATGTGGGGTTGGTCGTGCGTTCGGATACCCATGAAGAAATTGGGTGTGTGCAATGCCTGGTAAACCGTAGGCAGTGAGGGAGAAGAGGAAGAGGACAACAAACGAACGTCGGTGGCAGACTGTTTCGTCTGAGTTTCGCCTACTCGTGTCAGGACGCTGAACCGTCTACAGTCTGAAGAGTCCCCTAACCGATGATACGGAAAGTGATAATCCACCGTAACCCCGGTTGCGGTTAAGCATCAACGATTACTGGTGGTTTAAACCACCACCAGTACCTCCACGTTCTTAGGCCGTTAATGCGGTGGTTGAATTGACCCGCCGGAGGGGGGGGGGCTGTATTCATCCGTGTCAGAGGGGGCCTAAGAATGCGGTAGGTACTGGTGGTTTAAACCACCCACCAGTACATCCAGCTATTGGCTGCAGGCCCTTATCGGAGGCTACCTGCTACTTGCCACCGATTGGATTTATGTACGGCGCCGGGCCTCCAGAAATTTCGTAGGCGACGAGTTTTCTTTTCAGCAAGGCTGGGGGCGTGTACTGGCAGTTTAAACACGTCGTTTGTTCCTCAGCCTAGGAGTGTGAACATGTGATTGGGAGATTTTAAAGACACCTGCAAGTGGATCCTTGCCTGTGCCGCCTTTCTGTGGTTGCCGCTAGCCGCGGCTGTGCTGCAGCAAAAATATGCGAAGCCTTTTTGATGAGGTGAATAACAGGGCCCCCACCCCATGTGCCAGAAGGGTACGTACAGGTAACTGTGTTTACGAACAGGCAATGAGCTCGAATCCTGATGGAATCGGG